TGAAATACAGTCGCATAAGTTCCTAGGCAGGTAGATAACTCTGTCCTGGGTCTGCGACTGAAAACACCTGCACCAGAACCGGAAGGTGTTTTTGATCCATCTGTGAACCAACAACTATCTGCTTCTATACTATACTACTATATTTCCGTCTCCCGCAGGATTCAGTCCTCTCTACTCGGGCATAGTACTTTATAAGGCAGTTTGTAGTTGACGGTTGGAGGCATAAAGTCATAGGTCATTTCCAGAATGCTGTGTACAAGTCTGTATGCAGTCCATCTAGCCTCTATTTCCAGAAAAATGTGGAGAGAAGGTAGATCTAGAAGGATCTCCGTGGCTACTGACGGTGTGGTACTGATGGCACCACTGATAGCCAGACAAGCCTGTCTCTGTAAGCCAGCGAGCTTCGCTTGGGCCGTTTTCTGTAAAGCCTTCGGCCACCAAGCACTTGCACCATACGTGATTATTGGATTTGATTGGGACCTAAACCCCAAATTTCACCACAAATCCTTCGACATGTTCATAGAGGCAGTCTGGCTTTGTGTAAAACGTTTTCCAAGTGAGCGTTCCAGGTGAGTCTTTTATCAAGGACCATGCCAAGATATATCACCTCCGTTCCAAATGGAATGACCACACCATTGAGGAAAAGTGGCGTTAGATCGTCCAATTTCCTTCTCTTGGAGAGGGGGATTACCACAGTTTTGCTGGGGTTGACAGACATCTGCTCCCTCAGGCACCAACTGTGAACAACGTCCAACGCGCTTTGGAGGATATTACAAGCTACCCTTCCCGATGTGGACCTTGCCAGGATGACAAGGTCATCTGCATCAGCTGGCAGATCAACTTTTTTCTGTCGAGGGCATCAAGCAGACTATCCACCAGGAGCGACCACAGAAGGGGCGTTAGTACCCCACCTTGAGGGCAGCCCCTGGTGACCCTGAACCTGATAGCCTCGCCTTGAAGAGTCGTGTTGCAGTTCTGTTTACTAGCGTGGCATAAATCCAGCCGGTTATGGTCGATTCTATACCCTTTCTAGCCAGAGACAATCCTATAGACTTAGGTAGTGCATTCTCAAATGCTCCTTCAATATCAAGAAATACAGCAACCGCAATCTCCTTGTTGTCAAGGGATTGGGAGATTTTCTCAACGAGGTTGTTTAATGCTGAATCTGTCGATTTGCCGGTTTGATAAGCATACTGGTGGTTATTCAGTAGGGATGCATATAATGCTACCCTCCTGATATGTCCGTCCAGTATTATCTCAAGTCCTTTCAGCAGGAAGGATGTAAGGCTGATTGGTCGTACCGATTTGGGGTGTGGGACTCTCCGGCCCACTTTAGATATATATACCACCCTTGCTGCCAACCAACTGGGTGGTATGAGGCCGTTTGAGGGCGAAGAAAAGGTCTATACTTCGATTGATACTGTGGTTAATACAGATGACGCTACTAATTACCCTGTAGAATTTTTAAATTCATTGAAACCGCCAGGTTTGCCTTGTCATAAGCTTATTCTGCGTGTGGGCACTTCAGTTATGTTGTTGCGAAATTTAAAACCACCAAAACTTTGTAACGATACGAGACTGCAAGTGAAAGCGTTACATCGCAATATAGTGGAAGCCACTATATCAACTGGGTGTGCGAAAAGGGAAACTGTATTTATACCACGAATCCCATTAATACCTAATGACATCCTGTTCGAATTTAAACGATTACAGTTTCCCCTAAAAGTCTGCTTTGCCATGACAATGAACAAGTCTCAGGGGCAAACTCTCAAATTTGCGAGTATTGACTTGAGAGAACATTGCTTCTCTCATGGACAGTTTTATGTTGCTTGCTCACGAGTAAGTTCACCCAATAGCTTGATAGTTTTAGCGGTTAATGACAGATTAGTTAAAAATATTGTGTGCAAAGAAGTTTTGTAGGCCCTAATTTTTTACACACGCTAATCAAAAGTAAAGCCGCAAAATCTATACCTAATTAATAATAATACTTCTTAACGCGAGCGAAGCCGCGGGCAAAAGCTAGTTTAGTATAATTTTAAAGGTAATTGCATAAAATAATTTTAAAAAATTATAACTTCGAGCGAGTACGGTCCATACTATTCTGTAACTTTTCATGGCCTCAAACGTGAACACACAAATATTTCATTAACTTAGCTGTGAAATGTCTCACCAAAAAAACGCTTTATTTTCGATCGCACTATTATTGAAACACACTAAAACATAACACTGAACCATTTTGATTTCGAGAACCGAATGTTAAATGCCTTCTCAAAACAAGTGAACTCTACAAATAATTAATCACGACTAACACGCTTTGATTTATCTTACTGTAAGTTTATCATACTTCAGTCTTCACTCGGCTGTTTGAGTTCTTGTTTCCTTGGTTTCTACTACCATGTTATTGCCTAACATTTATATTAAAGTCATCAGTCTTAACACAATACATTAATTCCCAAGAATACGGTCATCCAAAAATTTTTCTTTGTGTGAAAAATTTGGCATGACTAGAATGTGGTGAGTGGAAATATTTTATAATTCAATTTATTGACCATTATATCAATACTCAATATGCAAAAAAAAGGTCATATGAAATATTCACCAAATTTTTGTATTTGAATTTATCCTTCACATAAATCAAAACACCTCCAATATGTCTACTATATGCTGGATATAATTCAATGTCCAGCCGGGGAAGTAGTTCTTTCCCGGCAGAAGGTGAGACCTAGAAGAGTTGTGACAATTTTTACTTTAAGGGACATATCTTGCCAAGAAACATTTCTCAGAGATGATCTATGTGAATAAATGTAGCACCATTCCTTCACTTTGCAAAACAATTATCAAAATCAATTAAAGTATTATGGTTTCTGAGAAAATCAACTAATTCAGAGATTACTACTTCTGTTACAATTCTCCTATCATTGAGGTAAGTTGTGACAGGTACCAAGGTGAGTTGTGACAGCTTTGTATTTAGACTATTAGACTTTTGGGAAAGGAAGTTTTTAGCAATTTGTTACCATTCATTTAAAGTAGAACTCTTGTGAATGATATCTGATTTTATTCCATAACGAATGTTTGGAATACAAACTGAGTAGAGAAAATTATCTTTATCTGTATAATTCAGTGTTCATATAAAAGTATTTGTTTCGAAAAAATGTTTTTTCTTTCGTGTAATTCAATGATATGAAAGTAGCCGTTTCAGGAGGGCTTTCTTCCAGTTTGTGTCTGAAAGTTACTTTTTTGCATGATCTACACATCCATGTATAGAGTTACTTATTTTCAAATTACTTCTTTCCTTTCTTTGGAAGATTCCCACTTTTTTTGATTCAAGATGGAGTAGTAGAAAGCCAAAAACTTTCTTTCCCAAAAATTATTCACTCGTAAAAAATATAACACCTTCAATTCAAATAAGATTCCTCTTGGCTAGGATTTAATCAAATAGGCGAATGAATGTCATTACGATGTCATCGATGACATAAGTAGATCAAACTTATTCCGTGACATTAAAAATCGTGATTCATGAATGAATTGGTACTGAAGAGCCTTGAGGCAAGTGTCTTACGGCGAAACCTCGATGTCTACCTGTGAGGATAACAGTGTTCCATGTAATTGCAATTTGTTACCAGCCATTTGAAGTAGAACTCCTGTGAATGATATCTGATTTCATTCCATAACGAATGTTTCATATATAGCTTGAGCCACACTTCTCCAGCTTTTTTATTTGGCCTCCATGTCTGGAAAATTTTTTATTATATTTTTCGGCTAACTGATGCAATAACTCTAGTTTCTTTCGTAGTCAGCCCATAATTAGATGCTGCACACGTTATATAGCCACTCAATATATTCTCGTGTAAAAATTGTCGGACAGTTGTAACCCATAGATGGAGCCTCACCTACTGGGTTGGCTTGATAAGCCTCTTTCTTCTTAATGTATCTCGACAAAGACATGTAGTTTATATTGTAAGAAGATTCAGCGTCTCTTAGACTTTTATCTCTTAACCCAACCTCTTCATAAGCCAGGTCGTAGATTTCGACACTCACAGCTCCTTTATCAGTCTTTCGTGTATAGTGATTAGGCATTCTGAAATCAAAAAGTGGTCATTTAGCATGTGACATCAAAATTAAGTCAGATAAGAGATTTGTGACAGCCTGCCACAACTCTTCTAGGTGTCCAAAATGACGACTTGCTCCGAATAATAATTCATATTTTCTAAATACGATGGAAACACAAAAGCTCAGCCTTAAGCTTTGAGACTTGAATAATCATACTACATGTATTAAGACATGATATAATTTCAATCAAAATTTCGAGTTAAAGCTTACTTTTCGTATTTTTTTACACACAGTTATCGTAATCACACAACCACTTCTGATGCGACGCCAGTGGGTACTAAGTCAAGTAATCAGTGTTGCCACAGACTAATATACTAATTTCGGTAGAAATACCAATTTTTTTTCGGTAGTTTTCGTGAAATTTCGGTAGAAATTTTAATCGGGAAATAACTTTAAACATATAAGTATGTGTTTTTATTAAACTTCATCTAAATGAGCACATATATTTTAATTAACATTAACAGTTAGAACTAAAAATATAAACAAAATAAATTAACCAAAAAATGAGTAAAAAACAGATTTTTTACGTCGTACACGTTACATTACATATTACCAACAGAACAACACAGCATACAAAACGGTATATTAATATTACAATCCCAAACATCAGTCAAAGTCAAAATATAACAAAAGTAACATAGGTTAACAAAATAAACTCCCATAAAAAATAACAAATTTTTTAAACAATAAAGTTGTATGTCAGTTTTCATCAGAATCAGAATTGTTTTGAAATTCACCTTTATAAAATGCCGATCTGTCATTCATTGTCATTAGATGCTTCTTTTCTATTTCAAAGTCGTAGCAACTGTGGTCTCGAAAGTACCTTCTAGTATGAAGCAGTCCAGAAATAGTATCAGTACCTAATCTNTAATCAAATTGTCCAACTACGTACCTTCTTTGACCCGTTGTTCCATTTTTTGCTTTGCTACAATTGCTGTTGACACCTCTGATGTGAAATATGTTATATCTGGTTGTCGTGAAATGCTTTTACATTTAGTTAAATGCGCTTTTCCTTTACTGTGCTTTATTAAAGCATCTTTACCGCTAGCAATATTTATGTCTTTATTGCATACCTTACATTTGGCATAAGTTGTGCCTTTCTCACTTTTCATTAACCATCCTTTAAACTGAGCAATATTCTGCCACTCCTCCTTGTAGTTTTGATCATATTTCTTTCTTTTCCCAGTGCTTGAACCTTCGTTTCCACTCTCCGAATCACTCATATTAATATCGTTATAATACACTAAATACAAAAATTGCGGCCAAAATGCTCCAGAAAACAATAAACTCTGCTAAATAGTCTCAATAACCACTCACCACTCGTAACTGATCTCAGTAATACAGTAATTCCCCTGTCGAAACGAGAAATCACCGAAAGTAATTCCCCGTTTGAAACGGGGAATCACCGAAATCAAACCCATGTCGTAAACTGAAGTTGGGGAACTACTGCCGCGGTTTCGGTTTACTCTAGGCTTTACTGAATATAGACAGCTTGGTAAATATATTAATAAATGCAAATTATTATTTAGCATACAGAATAAAATTAATTTCCTTGGGTTTGTAAAGTCTGTATTTTTTTCGGTAGATTTCGTTAAAATTCAGTATTTCGGTAGAAAGCAATGAATTTCGGTAGATATACCGAAATTTCGGTAGCTGTGGCAACACTGCAAGTAATGCATAATGCATCTCTAAAGCAGCAAAGGTGCGTTGTTGCCAACTAACTAACTATTGTTGGTAAGGAGAAATCGCCTTTGTCATAACTCTTCTGTCACAACTCTCCTAGGTCTCCCCTAATTTACCAGAACATAGGGTTTAGGTACTTTGGAACAGATAAATGTTTCGGAGATTTTATTTCGAAATCTTCAATTTCTTATGTGTATTAAAGGGCGTCGCCAAAAGGGGCACGGGTGGCAGTTGCCCACCCCCCCTAGAGATCAAATGTAGCTAGCCGCATAGCGACCAAAGTGCGAGCAATTAACTTCCTCTCCTATTAATAATTTCCGCATCGCATGACAAAACGTAAATAAATTCACAAGGTTTAATGTATATTGTAGAAAGTATTGAAATATTCAAAATAACATTAGATTTTCACCTCCATTTTAAAATCGCCGCCATTATAATCATGACTATATATCAAACTTGCCATTAAACAGTGTGAAAATATGTAGGTAGGAGCTAGTTATGGTGTGTGTGTTGTGTGCATTGCATTTCTTTCTACGACAGCTGTCTACCAGGATTCACGTTAGTTTTGTATAATTTTTATGCGGCATACCTAAAGTAGAAGTTATTGTTACGAACATACAATTTTAATTGGTTTTGTAGACGATGCCATCTGTAAGTTAAGTGTTCATAAGAAACACGTACAGCCTACAGTTGAATAAATCCACTACAATCCTTGTAACACCTAGTATTGCTACTCGACGCTAGATGGCGCTTGTTCAATAAACTCTCTGGAATTTGGTAGCAGTTTCTAGACCGGGTAGTTTTACCGTACATTCAAGTATGATGTTCGTTTGGGTATATAAAGGCGTGAGCCGCTGTGAGCGAGTTACTTTTTAATTGGAAACGATCAACGAAACAAGCGAATTGAAAAGCGGCTTGCCTGTGTTAGTCAATATTGATTTGTATTCATTAAATAATATAAGATCTCATCATCTCGGTGTTGAGTTGTGAAGTTTCAGAGTGTGTCTGCATTCATCATCTTATCAAAATGGACACGCCATCATTCGCATTATCTAAGTTACAGCCGACGCAGATGCAAAAGATGACAACTGAAAATCTGAAACAAACTTGTGAATCTATTGCCCAGTTTTATGATTTATCGAACATGAAGAATGAAATAGAACTTTGGCAGAAATGGTGGCACGATAGGCTCAATCTAACAAAACTTACAGTTGTTGATGTCCCAAAAGAAACAAATTCCTTCTTTCCCAAAACGGAAAAAGCATTGAAAATTTTGATCGCTTTACCATGCACGACCTGTACAGTAGAGCGATCCTTTAGCAGCCTCGGAAGACTGAAAACATGGCTAAGAAGCACCATGGCAGAAGATCGCCTTAATAGTCTGGCCATGATGAGTGTACAGAGCTATAATAAATA